TCTCTCTCTCTCTCTCTCTCTCTCTCTCTCTCTCCTTCTCTTCTCTTCCTCCTGCTCCTCCTCCTGGCCACCCATCCATTCCATTCCATTCCCGACGCTGCACCCACCAAACCCATCTACCCCCCCCCCCCGAAATACCCACCCAGAAAATACTCATCACGAAATTGAGGAAGCCCGGTGCTTTTGCAGTAACGGGGGGGGGGGGGTTTAGTTAATTTCAAAATGGCGAAACATCAATATTCCGAAACCTCAGAATGTTGAAATTCACATATCAAAAAACGAGAATGTCGACATTCAGAAGGCATTCAGAGGATTGTCGTTTTTTCGGAATGTCGAAATATCCATAGTTCGAAAGATGAGAATGTCGGAATTACAGAATGCCGAAATTTATAATACAGACATTTCAGGATGTCGGAATATTTCGACAGATTGAAATTTCGGTTTTATGGTAGCAAATCTGCAATTGGCGGTCTGGTGCTTTTGCATTATCGGGGGAAGAATGGTTTTTAATAGAAATGCTTGAAAAATCAGAAATTCCGCTGTGAACCCCCCGATAATGCGAGAAAACCCTGTTGACCTGGAAGATATATTAATGGATTCAAGCCGACCGAGATGGGATTGTACCCTGAAGCACGATTTTTTAAAGGCATCGACAAGGTCCATCCCATAGAGGGTCTTCCAAGGAGAAATTTTAAGAACTTAATATTGGAAATGACGATCCGATTACGCTATGTAAAAACGGGAACAAGAACAGGACAAAAGAGCGGAAATATTGCCAAGCAACGGTTTTAGGCAAGGGGGACGTGGTGGAACATTTGAATTTCCGTTCGGATGGGTCGTGCTCAAACTAGAGGCTTGGGTCGGAGGTTTCGATTCTCGCCCACTCTCTCTCTCTCGCTCTCTCTTGTTCTCTCTCGCTCACTCTCTCTCTCGCCTCCAATAAACAATTCGTGGCGAGGCCTCAGCCGCCCAAAGAAGGAGACCCTCCCCCCATTCGGAATCGCTAGAAAAGCCATCCATCCTACTTTTCCTAATTGCCCTCAGGGCAAAACCAAGGACAAAGTGCGAGAGAGAGCGAGAGCGGGAGATATATAGAAAGAGCGACAGGATCAGAGCGAGAGAGAGAGGAAGAGAGATGAAATTATGTTTGCCAAACTGAGCTCAAGCAGATGCGTTAATGTTAAAGGACAGAGGACATGATATCATGGTATGCTAGCAGGGACCATTTGGGAAATCGAGCCGCCCCGGGTCCAGCTCCATACGTCCAAAACAAATGTTTCATTTTTAGGGATACGCGTCAATTTTGAGCGAATGAATCAATTGCTACTATTCCGGGTGTCCCAAACCAGCCCCCTCGGCATTTCGCTGTCTTCCATCCGATAGGATTCAAATTTTTACCCGCGATCGGGACCCATAAAAACTTTACGGAGTCCGATTTTCTAAACAAAATAAGGTAAAACAAGACAGTTATAGCTAAATCCAGGCTTGTTTTGCCGATTTCACTGGGATTTTGGCGGATTTCGGCCTCGACTTGCGTAGCAAAAATGAAGAGAGCACTCTTCTTCCGCTGGAGAATTTTTGATGTACGCAAATTTAGTTAAAATGTTTCACAAAATTTTGCTTTCCAAATTCGGGAATCGGCTGGAATTGGCCGGTGGTCTCATTAGGTGAAATCGTTACTGCTAGAAACCATTCTAAATTCTAAGAGACCAAAGTTTTTCGGGTTACGCCAGAAAAATATTTTCATAATGTTTGTTGTAAAATAAAACTATAGTTCAAATAGAAAAACTATCTAAAAAAGCTTCAAACATCGAAAGCTTGGTCAAAGCGGCCAATTTTGGTCGAAAGAGAATATTTTTTGTATTTTTTAATTAAAAATTTGTGAAGTTTTTTGCTTTGTAATAGGAAAAGCTTAGTTTAGAATCACTTGCTAGTTAGATTTTAAAAATTGATGCCTAGAAAAACCTCCCCCGCCGATAATACGTAGGAACGAAAAAAAATCGGCCATATGAAATTGGCGCCAATGAAAATTCGGCATTATTGATGCAAATCGAAAAATGGGCAAGCTGGCAGAGACGCTTTAATGCTAGGGCCAGATTTCGGGACGTGGGGTCCCAAAAATAGGGGCCCAATGTGCGGGTATTTTGTTTGCAGACGGATTGTGGGCGGGACGGGTGGGGGAAAGCCTGTGGTGTGGGTTGCGGGTTGAAGTGCGAACAGCTGGTCATTTGGCCCGTCCGATCAAATGGGGGGAAGGACCGGGGGGGGACGAATTCGCGGGCGCAACCGGGACCTCTGCAAAAACATCGAAAAGACACCACCCGCAGACCCGCTGGACTCCATCGGATTTGGCTGGATCGACAGGGTGCACTCAAAATTCCCTAATTCGGACCGAATTCCGGTCAGTTCGGCTAGCGCCATTTCCTTTTTGGACAGACGTTTTTGGATTAATCTAGAAATGCCGAGTAACTTCAAAGGAAGCATTTTCATAATTTTTTTAGTAAAAGAAAACGAAAACGAAAACTATAGGAAAAACCGTGCAAAATTTTCAAAGAGTCGGAAATTTTGTCCAAAAACCTATATTTTTTGCATTTTTTAATAAAAATTTGGAATGTTTCGATGTTTAAAAATGGCAAAAAACGGTTTAGAAACACTTCCATTACTTACATTCGAAAAATCGGTGCCTAAGGAAAAAATTTTTCCCCTCCGACGACGCGAAAGAATGTTTTAAGTATTGCATTGGTTTCATGAAAAAAAATGCAGGTTAATACTGCGCCGACCATCGGGTGTCCCAATAAAAACATCTCCTGTAACTCGACGAAGTATTTGCAGATTCTAAATGAAAGTCACACCATTCGAAAGCCCATGACAGAGCGAGTTTCCAACTAACTCCAAACCCATGTTTCTATTTTCAAACGATTTTGCGACATTTCGCGGGTTTTCTGGATTGCAAACGAGCCGATTTGCCTAAATTTTCCCTGCAAAATGATAACAAAAATACCGTTAATTAGTTGCAGAGGTTTCTATCGTTAATGTTTTTATGTGCGCTGCAAAGAGTGGGTTTCAATAAAAACATGGTCACGAAAATTTAGGCGAAGGAATTTTGAGTCGTGGAACTGCCATTCCGATCCGATACCTCTGCGTGGAGTTGAAGGGAGTGTTTTTTATTTTCAAAATTTCTATCTTTAGTCATAAAATTAGGTTAGGATGGATAGCATTCGCTGGAGGGGGCGCCTCTATAAAAATGGGCAGCGCATGGCGTTTTTTGATATTTTTATTCGACCGGGATTCGACACGGAAAGGTTTGAAAACTGCGACGCGGTTTTTCAGCGCTGGTTTACTTTAAAAACAAGATGAATGGCAAAATCTTAGGGATTTTAAAGCAAAAACATTTAATAGAATTCAAAAAATCCTGATGATCGGCCTCGTCGTCTCTGACTGTACGCCAATTTTCAGGCACTTATGAATCGCTTTTCTTCTTCTTATGGCTAAAAATAGCTGAAAAATAGAGGAAACAGCGTTTTCACGCATTAGGGATACCTATATAAATAGATAGATATAATAGATAAGCATCCATAAGAATGTAAAAAGAACGAAACGAAAGCCGCTCTAAAGGACCGCAAAAGGCAAAAACACATTCTCAAAGTCAACAAGCAGGCGCCGCTTAATACGAGGGCCCATAAATCTGGGTGATTAAAGAGGTCGGGGGCCCTTTTTGGGGGGAAGGGCCCGACGAGGGCCCGTGGTGTGGCCCTGGTTGGGGCCCACCGGTTGCTTGGAGGGGGCCCCTCGTCGAGGGCCCTCGCACTCGGGCAGAGAAGGGGCCACCACGGGGGGATGGCCTTCTCCGGGTGGACCTAGGGCCCGGATCGATGGCCCCTGGCGGGCCCTTTCTCTCTCTCTCGCTCTCTCTCTCTCTCTCTCTCTCTCTCTCTCTCTCTCTGTCTCTTCTGTCTCTCTGTCACTCCATTCCCTCGGGAATCTCTCGCCCCAACCCGCTTCATCACCGCGCCCGCAAAAAAATCTCTCGACGCGGCCAGGCGAGCGGAAATCTGCTCCTTAAAGGGGCTGGTAAACGAGAGAGTGAAAGAGAGATAGAGTAAGAGCGAGAGAGAGGACGAGTGAGAGAGGGAGCGAGAGAGGGGCAGAGCGAGAGAGCGAGAACGAGAGACAGCTAGAACGAGATAGAGCGAGAGCGAGAGTAAGAGCGAGAGAGAGAGAGAGAGAGAGAGAGAGAGAGAGAGAGAGAGAGAGAGGGCGAGTCAGAAAGGGAGCGAGAGAGCGAGAGAAAGAGAGAAAGAGAATGAGCGAGAGTGTGTGATAGAGAAAGAGACAGAGACTGAGTGAGAGAGAGAGCGAGAGAGAGAGAGAGAGAGAGAGAGAGAGAGAGAGAGAGAGCGAGCGATGGAGAGCCAGGAAGGATCATGACCTCGGGCTCATGCCTTGATTTGAGCACGTTCGACCACGGACTACGAAGTAAAATGTTGGTGTTCCACCAAAAGTCGTAATGCCGGGGTACCATTAAAAGTATTTTAAAAACGCAAAACAATGAAAATTAAACAAATCGTATGAATTCGCTATGAATTTTTACAAACCAAAATAACCGCTTCATTTTTGTTCACCGCGACCATTTTGAGTGATCCGGCGCATTAATAGGGGCCCACGGCTGAGAATATGGGCCGTGGACGGGTCTTACCAAAGCCCTCAGTCTTGCCAAATTCGGCGCCCTGAAAAAATTCGGTGTTATGAAAATTTGGCATTACGCCGGTAGATCGTAAACTACACCACTGGCCGGCGAGCCGCAGCCAAAAGAACCAGTCAAGATGTCAAAAATTTGCATCTGCAATTTGCATAAAATACCGTAGTACCGGATATAGGCAGTATTAGCATAAAATTTTCCGAAGCAAAAAAAATCCTGTTGGCCTCATTCACACAAAAAAATCCGTCCTACGATTCGCGCCCCCAAGATTTTCTTCACGTCCGTCGACCTGACAACGACGATGGCCGCAGAAAACGATGAGGAGCCGGTCAGTTTCCGCTTTTTGTCTTTTTTTCTCTTGTTTTCTTCTGCATGCCTTCTTGCTTTTTGCGTGTCCTAAATGACATACGGTGGGATTAGAGTATCATTAGTGTAAAGGGTTTAAGTTTCAGTTTACCCCCCAACCGGCACCCCACTTTTCTATCTCGGCTCCCTGTTCATCTACAGGTGTGTGAAGTACACCAAAATACTCGCCAAAGCATGGCGAATATTTTGGTATACTGTACACACCTGTAGATGAACAGGGAGCCGAGATACGGTAGATGGGTGCTGGCTGGGGGGTTAACTGGAGTTCGGCCCAAAAGTGGTTCCCCCGCGAATCTTAAAGAACGATTTTTTGCAGAAGGACAATCGGCAGCTACACCTCGAAGAAGAGGATTGTCTCATCAAAATGGAACGGGCCGAGACGGAGATGCGTTCAGCACAAGCTGCCCTCCAACACGAGGTTAATCTTTTGAGGATTGGGTTGCAGTGTCCGGTTCAGGACTATTAGCGGGGCGGGGCTAACCTTTCCCTGTGATCCTCTACAGCCCTCTAGCCAAATTTAAACAATTTTATGGCAGCTTTCATAGTTTTTATTTTGGCTATAAAAACCATATAAAAAATAGGAACAACTTTCGAAAATTCTCGAAAATGTTTGAAAAAAAAACCAAAAAAAGTAACAATGATAATTTCGGTCCCAAATTTCGTAAGTAAGCTGACAAATTAAAAAGGTAGCTGTAGGCCGAAACATTGTTTTCACGGCCTGAAATGACCAAAGTTTCGACTTTTTCAAACGCTTTTCGAGGTTTTTTTTGAAAGAGTTAAACGTACTCGAGTTAAAACGTACTAAAAATAATGTAGGGTTCTGTTCTATTTCGCGGGGGGGAAAAAACTGTGCGGGGGGGAAAATATTCCCGGCCAAAACTTCTATGTTTTCGCTATTTTCTCGGGATTTTTGCAACGCCATTCGATAGAGCATCAAAAAATATACTAAGAGTTTTTGTTTAAGCTAAAAATATTGTAATATAAAAAAGTTATAGCAAAAACAAAAAAAAACTATTGAAACGGGTGCCGAAATATTAGTTTTCGACATTTTCGCCAGTTTTTCGATATTTTGAACCCGTCATTCGATAGAGCATCAAAAAATATCCTAAGAGTTTTAATTTCATCTAAAAATATTGTTTTATAAAATAGTTATAGCGAGAACAAGGTTTATACGGTGTTTCCACATGGGATCGTGGAGTCGAAAGCTAGTTTTCGACATTTTCGATATTTTTTAAAAATTCCTTTCATGCCATTCGATAGAGCGTCGAAAAATATACTAAGAGTTTTAATTACAACTCAAAATAGCATCATATAAAAGAGTTATAACAAACCTAAGAACATTTTCCCCCCCGCACAGTTTTTTCCCCCCGCGAAATAGAACAGCACCTAATGTAGAAACAGTTGATATTTGCTTACCAGACCACCCGGGAGCGCCTGGGAAAATAGTTTCTCCCGGGAATCTTGCCACCCCCCGCTAACAGTTCAGAACCCAATTAAATACCTTACCACCGTCATATCCATTTCAGATATATGTTGCCAGGATGATCCGGAGAACGATCGACCGCTTCAACAACGAACAGGAAGCCCGACTCGTGAATGCGTGGAAGGCCGAGGATCTCGAGCGCGCTGCACCCGGATACACCCTGTCGGCGCCAAACCCAATATCGAAGGTGGGCACCGCTTTGCGAGCTTCACTTTTTGGGTACTTGACTGTTAGCGGGGGGGATTCTAGCAGGGGAAACTCAATTTTTGATAATGTAAAGTTTTGAGATTTTGACCTAGAAAAATATTTTTGATATTTTTCAAAATTCGAAAATTTAGCTCTATTTTTACCATTTTCTGTTACATTGCAAACTTAAGAAATTTCGAAACAAATTACAGGCATACAGGATTACTGCAAAAAATTAGTCCCCCCCGCTAGCAGTCCAGTACCAACTTTTGTATTGAGAGTCGGGTTCTTTCGCATTATCGGGGGGGGGCGGCTTTTTTGCTTAGGCTTTGGCTTAGGCCTAGCTTAGGCTTAGCTTCAGGCTTAGACTTAGGCTTTAGCTTCAGGCTCAGGCTTAGGCTTAGCTTCAGGCTTAGCTTCAGGCTTAGCTTCAGGCTTAGCTTCAGGCTTAGGCTTAGGCTTTAGCTTCAGGCTCAGGCTTAGGCTTAGCTTCAGGCTTAGCTTCAGGCTTGGCTTCAGGCTTAGCTTCAGGCTTAGGCTTAGGCTTAGCTTCAGGCTCAGGCTTAGCTTCAGGCTTAGCTTCAGGCTTAGGCTTAGGCTTAGCTTCAGGCTTAGGCTTAGGCTTAGCTTCAGGCTTAGGCTTAGCTTAGCTTCAGGCTTAGCTTCAGGCTCAGGCTTAGGCTTAGCTTCAGGCTTAGCTTCAGGCTTAGCTTCAGGCTTGGCTTCAGGCTTAGGCTTAGGCTTAGCTTCAGGCTTAGCTTCAGGCTTAGCTTCAGGCTTAGCTTCAGGCTTAGGCTTCAGGCTTAGCTTCAGGCTTAGCTTCAGGCTTAGGCTTAGGCTTAGCTTCAGGCTTACTTTCAGGCTTAGCTTCAGGCCTAGCTTCAGGCTTAGCTTCAGGCTTAGGCTTAGGCTTAGCTTCAGGCTTAGGCTTAGGCTTTAGCTTCTGGCTCAGGCTTAGGCTTAGCTTCAGGCTTAGGCTTAGGCTTTAGCTTCAGGCTTAGGCTTAGGCTTAGCTTCAGGCTTAGCTTCAGGCTCAGGCTTAGGCTTAGCTTCAGGCTTAGCTTCAGGCGGCTTCAGGCTTAGGCTTCAGGCTTAGCTTCAGGCTTAGGCTTAGGCTTTAGCTTCAGGCTTAGTTCAGGCTTAGCTTCAGGCTTAGCTTCAGGCTTAGCTTCAGGCCAGCTTCTCAAGCTCAGGCAGGCTTAGCTCAGGCTTACTTAGGCTTAGCTTCAGGCCTAGCTTCAGGCTTGGCTTCAGGCTTAGGCTTAGGCTTAGCTTCAGGCTTAGCTTCAGGCTTAGCTTCAGGCTTAGCTTCAGGCTTAGCTTCAGGCTTAGCTTCAGGCTTAGCTTCAGGCTTAGCTTCTGGCTCAGGCTTAGGCTTAGCTTCAGGCTTACTTTCAGGCTTAGCTTCAGGCCTAGCTTCAGGCTTAGCTTCAGGCTTAGCTTCAGGCTTAGGCTTAGGCTTAGCTTCAGGCTTAGCTTCAGGCTTAGCTTCAGGCTTAGCTTCGGGCTTAGGCCAGCGGGCTTAGCTCAGGCTTAGCTTCAGGCTTAGCTTCAGGCTTAGCTTCTGGCTCAGGCTTA